AGTCAGAGTTCTCTGCTGCTGATTCGCACCTTCCTAAGCCTACTGACTTGATCATCCTATTTCGTTTTGATGTTGTTGTTGGTTCCAACTCATAGCAACCTTGTATAGGGTTTCCAAGGAGTGGATGGTGAGTTTGAACTGCCAACCTGGAGATTAAAACTGACCTTGTTGTCTAGTGTTTTATCCTACAGCAGTACATCAGGACTAATGGCACCATTATTAATGACATACTTTAAATTAATATTTGGCACTGAATATACTGATAGAATCTCAACTCAAGGAATGAGACAATGACCCTAAGAAGACATTTAACTCAAAAAAATAGAAGCTTCTGTACTTGGGCTAAAATTAAGATGGATCAAAATGAATTATTTATGTGCATTAATGGCTGGAAGTATGAAACAAAGATTTGTGTTCAGGTGACTTCAATGTAAATTGGATTCAATTGTATGATATAGTGGTGGTGGTGGTTGTGTACCACCGAGTCGGTTCTGGCTCACAGTGACCCTACATACAGGGTTTCTGAGGCTGTAAATCTGTAAGGAGCAGAAAGCCTCATCTTTTTCCTGAGAATTGACTGGTAGACTTGAACTGCTGACCTCGCAGTTAGCAACCCAGCTGGTAATCTACTATGCTACCAGGGCTCCAACTGTGTGCTATGTTATCCACAAAAATGCTCTTAGGGTGCAGTGGTAGATCTATAGTGTCTATTCTAGAATCTGATAATATTCTACACTAGGCAGAATATTTAGAAGAAGGCTTCAAAAAGAAAATCATAAGAAAAGACTGAGCAACTGGTCAAATAGACTGGTGAACCCTAAGACTATGGCCCTTGGTTATCCTTCAGGTCTGGAACTGAACTCACCCCTGTGGCTCAATTTTCAGCCAAGTAATAGGTAGGTATATGATGGGGGTGGAACAACAACACTGAAGTACACACACCATAGATTGGTCAACCAATCTAGTTCAAAAGGGCAGCATTTACCCAAGGACAAAGTTCAGAAGGATGGGGAAAGAAAGACATTTGATGACAAGAAACACAGGGAGGAAGTGGGGAAAACAATGTTACACTGAGGAGACTGCAATTGAGATGAAATGAAGTGTATGATTTGTTGACTGCAAAACTGATGATCTGTTCATTCAGTTCACAAGAAAAAGTTTTTAAACGTTTATGGAAATATGGAATAAAAAAATAATGGAATTTTTCCATGAAGTTTGTGAAGCCCCCTCATAATCTCAAGGCCATTTATAAATTCAAGAGCATGTAAGATGGTAAGGAACTCAGAGAAACATATATCAAGTTAGAAATAGCTAAAGTAAATGGGGAGGCTAGACCTCCAAAAATAAGTCTTGTTGAGAATATAATTCAGGATTGCATGAGATAATACAATGCCTAGCACAAGTGTTCAATTAATGTTACTAAGATGGAGGGTCAGAGAAAAAGAGGAAGACCCCCAATGAGATGGATCAGTCAGGTGGCATCCTTGATGGCGTCAAGTGTGGCAGCAGTAGTGAGGTTGGCCCAGGACTGGATGTTGTTTCGTTCTGCTGTGCATGGGGTCGCTATGAGTCGGTTCCGACTCGATGGCACCTGATGACAACAACAACAACAATAAAAGAATGATAATTCCCAGTGTGGCGCTGTAGGATAAGCACTGGACTGCTAACTGCAAGGTTGGCGGTTCAAACCCACCAGTTACTCCTCAGAAACCTTACATAGGGTCACTATGAGACGGAACTGACTCTCTTATCAGCACTTAACAACAATAAAAGAATGATAATTAGTAGCATTATCTGCTCTGTGTCATATTATAGTTAATGCTTATAGAATGCTTTCTGTGTGCCGGGTGCTAGTCGACATACTGTCTAATTTACTCCTGGGACCAATCCTATGAGGAAGGTACTATTATTGCATTGAATTTTGTACAAGAGGAAACTGAGACACAGAAAATTTAAGTAGATTTCCCAGTGTGTCTCACAGAAAGGGCCAGAATCAGGACATGAACGCCAGCAGTTTTAGACTATCAAAGATAAAGGGCACTTTTGTTATTTTAAGCTTGCTCTTTACCATCCTAGAGGGTAAAACTAGAACCAATGTGTGTAATCTCCTGGGAAGCAGATTTCACCTTACCAAAAGACGAAAAATAAAATCTCCGTGTGATTAGAATTGTCTGAAATTTCAATGGAATGTCTTAAAAGGTAGTTCTCTATCACAGGATGCTAAAGGAAAAACGGATAGAAATGAACAAATCAATAAAATTTATGAATTACTCCTCTGGGGGGGGGGACTATATAAATGAGAAGTCAATCCTCAATGAAAGAATACAGACAGCATAGTAAAACTTGGCTTGAAAGACACACATCACTGGAAAATTTTAAAGTAAAACAGTATGGAAAAAGAAATAAAGGTGAACAGATTATATCTGTCTGGTTGTTATATCAACACAAAGTCAATTAGATGTCAGAGAAAGGAACAAAACGTTCTTATAATGGAAAATTTCCTAGACAGCTTGGGTTGGTTTGATAAAAAATAATTCTGGGATCCTCACAGGTATGGTGGTCACAAATCCTTAAAATGTTCAACACAGGGAAAAGGTAGCATCCAGGTTGTTATGAGATGCAGGTATAAGATCAAAGATCATAAAACACTATTAGATCAAAAAATATACACTTTCAATGACAATTGAGGATGTTAGCTTGAGTTTAATCTTGTTACTTAGTGTGTAGCACGCCTGGTAGTACAGTTTATGTGCTCCACTGCAAACCCAAAGGTTGGCAGTTCCTTCCAGAGGTGGCACAAAAGAAAGGCTTGGAGATCTACTACCAAAAAGTCAGCTGTTGAAAACTCCCCTGAACACAACTGTACTCGGACACACATGGAATCACCATGAACGGGAATCAATTTGACAGCAACTGTTATTCAGTGTGTGGTCAACAGAATTATTATATAACTTATTCTTTAAAGCTTTTATGGGGTAGCATTTATTGTTTCAGATCCAGGGACTGCTGAATCCAACAAATATTTGTAGATTTAATGAATGAATATAATCTTTCTCAACATGCAACACCAAGAGGTGGCTAGTTAAAATTCAGAGTTCTGGCAAAATTTCTCTTCAGTTATAAATACTTAGAACTTTCTGTTTTCATGTTTTAATAACAAAAATTTCTCCCATTTCAGAACAAATGGGTTTTCTGGACTAGTTGTACTGAAACAGACAAAAGTACATCTTAATTTAGGAAATTTATTCGGTCTTTATAGATTACTTTACAAACTTAATTCTTTCTGGGGTATTTTTTTCATTAGAGCTCTGGTAGCATAGTGGAGATGTGTTGGGTTGCTAACTGAAAAGATCAGTAGTTCGAACCTACCAGAGGCCCACGACACACCACCCCCAAATATTAAAACACAAAAAATTGTAATTTACTTCTGTATCTAAAATAGACTGGAGCTTTTATCTGTGATACAGGTCCAGAGGCTCAGGAAATGTGAAAGTGACAAGAAAGATGTGAAAACAATTTAATAGCGCCTACACAAATATGCTCATGGAGCTCTGGTAGCCAACCGCAAGGTCAGCAGTTCGAAACTACCAGGTGCTCCGCGGGCGAATGATGAGGCGTTCTGCTCCCATAAAGATTTACAGCCTCGGAAACCCTGTACAGGGTCGTTATGAGTTGGAACCCACTCCACGGTACTTAACAACAACAACAACAACAACAACATGAATATGATGTAGTTACAGATGTGGATTAAAACAGAGACAAATGGTATATGATATTGGCTCATGAAGGTGAAACAGTTAAATTTCAATACAGCATGTGGACTGTAGGGGAAATAGTGGGAAGGGTGGGGGAGAGAGGCAGTATCAAGAGAAGCAGAGAGAAAGAGGGACTAACCCCAGGATTAGATGCTAATCCTCTGTGGCAACTAGGTAAACACAAATATAAGGAGAGGGTTGAGTGACAACGCCTGGTATGTTGGAGGGCAGGAGATATTGGCTGACACTGTCGCCGGTCACAGTGGTAACTGGGCTCTCAGCGGTGACGTGCAGCCCTCACGTGACCAGGAGCCTATGTCTGCCCAAGTTCCTCCCATCCTGGTCCTTTTTGCAGGTCCAGACACTCATCTCCCTATTGCCCTTTGGTTGAGGGAGAAAGCAGAAGGAAGTAAGTTCCCTTGATCCCCTTAAATCTTAAAGTAGGTGTTACCTTGTAATCTCTGGGATGGGTGGCAGAGTCTCCTCCCCACACTCTCTGTGCCCATATTTTGGTGCAGAAAATGGTGGTCTTGGGGTGGAGTGGGGAAGTGAGTTCAGCCCTGGGAAAGATACACACTTAGAAATAGTTTTAAAGTATTTCTTTGCTTCCACTTTCTGTCGGGGGTGGGGAACACAAAAATAGAGCACTACGTAATAGGGGGAGGGAGGTCGCAGCTTGATACGGGGTTCGCGGTAGGTGGAGGAGACCCAGAACTGGAAGACGCAGGCGTAGAGACTGCGGAGTGTGCCCAGACAAGGGGCGTGTCCCTCCCTCCTTCCCATCCCCCTACCCTGTCTGGCGTCTGTCTGCAGGTCACAGCGGGGCACCTCAAGGAAAGGAGCACAATAAGCAAACTGCCTGGAGCGAGCCAGGTGGGGAAAAGGTGAGCAGTGGGTTAGGCCTGGGAGACCAGAGATGGCGCTGCAAGCCACGCAGCCTGCGGAGCCCCGGCGCCCCGCCCCTATTCCCGGGCTGGCCGCGACCTGGGCAAGGCCTGCTGGGAAAACGGTGGGATCTTGGGAAGGAACGGACAACTTGCAGGAAAGAAAGACGGGGCCGGGTCAGGAAAGCCCGAGGGCTTCTTGGTAAACATAGGCTTGAGGACCTGGACTCCTAGTCAGTGAAAGGCTGGTATTGGGACCCATAGCTGGGGTGTTGTTGGCCCGCCCACCAAATATTCTGACTCTTCTTTTCTTGTCTCCTAAGAATAACTGTGCTGTCATTTAAAGAAGAAACTTCGCAACATGGAAAAACCACCCAAAGAAAATGAAGAAGAGCCCCAGAGCTCGCCAAAGATCATGGAGCCACTGCCTCCTGTGGAGCCCCCTCTTGAAAAGCACTCCCGGGAGGAGGAAGAAGAAGAGGAGGAGGAGGAGGAGGAGGACGAGGAGCAGTCTTCAGAAGAGCCTTCCTCAGAGGATGAAGAGTTCTTTCCCGAAGAACTCCTCCCAGAGCTCCTGCCTGAGATGCTCCTTACAGAGGAGCGCCCTCCCCAAGAGCGCCTTTCTAGAAAGTACCTTTTTGAGGAGCACCCTCCCATGGAGCAGCCTCCTTGTGGAGTAGGAAAACATAAGCTGGAAGAAGGAAGTTTTAAGGAAAGGCTGGCACGTTCTCGCCCTCAACCTAGAGGGGAGATCCATGGCAAGAATTTAAGCAATGAGGAGATGATAAAGGTAGCAGAGGAGATGGAAGAGATGAAAAGAGTAAGAAACAAACTGCTGATCATGCACTGGAAGGCAAAACGAAACCGTCCCTATCCTATTAAATACAGTCTGCCTTGAGCTCAGTTTTGCCTATGGTAGTATTGCCACCAGAACTTTCTCTTTACATTTTCTTACATCTCTTTTGCCATGTTTTTAATTTTAACTTTTGTTGTGACTTTATTTTAGGTATGTCTCTTGTGAGTGGCATAGCACCCTCCCCCTTGTAATTGATCAGTCTCCCTCATTCAATCATAAATTTCACCCTTTGGCATGAAGACGTACATTATATATTAGGAAGTTAAAAAAAAAAAGCATCTTTCGAAAATATATTAACATCACATTTTTATAAAGAAAATCATGTATATTTATATATAATCAAAGAAAACAAGTATATGAATCAAAAGTTGAGCAGTGGTTTATCTGTGATGAAATAATAGAGGATTTAAACAATTTTTAAAAATTGCTCTTTATGAATTTCTCATTTAATAGGTTATTTATTTTGCTTTTTCTCGTGTTCCCCCAAGAAGACATTATACTTCTGTTGCCAAAAAAAAAAATGAATGAAAAAAAATGTGAAGCAGATTTTTTTTTTAAAAAAATGTCAGTTTATGAAGACAATATGGCACTTAATAAATATTTGTCAAAGCTTAAAAGAAAAAAGGAAATCCCATGTTTCTTTTGACTCTCTTAGGTAGAAATACAAAGCAGGCGTCTATCTATGAGATTTGTTATTTAAGGATCTTGTTGCTCCTCCCCCCCCCCCCCCCCCCCAGTTAAAGAGGAATGAAACTTGCCTTATAGGTCTTCTGTGGAACCAAATGAGATAAAGATGGTGTGTTCATCTCTTCCCTACCTTCATATTCAGACCATCAGCCCCTTTGGACATAGGAGTTAGTATTCAAAGGAAGTCTCACTTGTGCTCAGAGCTCCTAAGAGATTCCAGGGGGGTGCTATATTCTATTATTCTTGCTCTGTTCTTCCTTTGACTACTGCTGTGTCTGATAGGCATAGCCATCCCTTCTGGGCTCCTGTGCCTTCCACTGGGTCCTCTCACTGTCAATGTACTGGAGTTCTCACTGTTTGTATTGGAGCCCCTTGTGAGCCAATGCTGAACTGTGTAAACTACAGAAACATGGAGAACACGCCTCTTCCAGCTTTGATATTACACTTACTTAAGTGGATACCATTCCAGTGCTCTTTAGACATCAGTGTCTTAAAGAAATCTTAGCAAAATTGTCCTTTCTGCTTTTTTTTTTTTTCCTTACAGCTTTACTTTTCTGAGACTCAAACATGAGTCCACTGGGATCTGGGCTAGCTGACAATTATGCGTACCAACCACTATGCTGTGTACTCAGAATTAGAACATCCCTCCCAAATAATCTTCAAGGGTATCTGTGGTTTTAATTGCTTAACTTGCTTTAAGGTGAGTTCTCTCCCTTACGAATTCTGTTGACATGTTTCATGTATGTAAATTAAGAGGGAAATAAAGCTTAAGCTAGGATATTTCCCTTCTACCCCACTCCATATCAACTAGAAACATGCCAAAGTACTTTATAAGACAGTAAATTGTCTATGTGTCAGATACTATGATTTCCCCATTAAACTACCTTTGTAAAACCAAAAGACTGTTTTATTGATCCTGCTAACCCTAGAAACACAGATGGTTAATTTTTTCCCCAAAGTATGACTCAGCCAGGAACCCTGATTGCTTGATTGATTCATTTCTGTCCATGATTGACAATGTGTGCTTAGTAAGTATGTTCACTGCTATAGAAAGCATGATTTGTGATTCCAGAAGGAAAACAGGGAGAAATTGTTTCCTCAAGTCAACATTGAATTTATTTTAACGTTTTATATACTGTTTCTCTTAAAAAAAAAAAACAAAACACTTTAGAATCCTGGGTTCTGCCTACTAAATCTGCCTTTCTGAAAATTAGCACACTAAAGTTGGAGGGCCAGTGGTCTATACAATATATACACTCATGATTTTCCTAAGTACATAGTATGAAGTAAATACCAGGAGTCCATGAAATAAATACAAGTCTCAAATTTAAAAGAATGAAAGGACTATATGCAAGCATACGTATTTTTAACAACCTCACCAAATTTACTACATAAAATTAAAAAGATTTCTTGCAGTAAAGCAAAACCATACCCCCCAAAAACTAAGGGAGACAATGTTGTTAAGTGCCATTGATTTGGTCCTGTCTCATAGAGACCCTGTACAGGGCTTCTGGGGAGTGACTGGTAGGTTTGAACTGCTGACCTTGCAGTTAGCATTCGAATGCTTATCCTACCGTGCCACACCAGGACTAGAAAGAGACATTTTCCATGATTTAACAGTATACCTTGCGTTCCTTCCAATATGAGTAAAACAAAGAAATTCAAAGTTCTCTGAGACAAACTGACCAAAAAAACCCACCCAACCAACCAAAAAAAAAAAAAAAAAAAAACAACAAAAAAAAACCCCCCAGTGGATCAGCCCTGTGCTCCTGGCTTTGTTTTGTGCTTGTTTTCACTATGTCATGTGATTCTTCATGTCTCCAGACCCGTCTTCAAGGTTGTGGCAGACTAATGGATGCTCTTGGGGCTGGAATTCCAGCTGTAGTGAGAGAAGGTTCCAGAGTGTCACTGTGTCCTTTCCAAAACAGGATCCATCCATCCCCCTGATGCTCAGTAGGGTGGGACTCAAGCAGGATGTTGATGGGCTCCTCAAAGCTACAAACCTCACAAGGTGGGTTTGACCTTGGTGTCTGCTCCAGCCTGAAGCAGGCACCAGGTCATCTAAGCAGATGGCCAGGCTGACCTGGACAAACAACCTGGAGGAGGACTGGTCCCAACTACAGGGGAGCACTTAGCTTTTCCCTCCCTTTCTCTTTCTGGGAACTTTTCTTTCATAGGGGAGGTGAAGTTGCCAAGCTTCCTAACTGGAAACACTGGTTGTGATAGTTGGTTGATTTGAGTGTGATCAGATAACTTGAGGTTGAAGCAGAAAGGAATGCTCCTTCTCTGAGAGTTCAGTGAAATCCTTTACCATCTCTCTGACTGTACACTCTGGTATCTTTATCGCATGCCCAAGCAGTGACTTGCATAGCGAATTCCAGAGCAGAAAGCACTGAGGGCTTAGGGCCCTGGAGATACAGCCATTTCTTAACCAGCATCTCCATGTTCTTAAGGGATAGTGCTTGAGAGTGGGAAGCCCCAGCCAGCAGGAAACAGTCACCATGTCTTTTGTGACCAGAGTCACATAGCTCAGCTACCTCCTCAAAAGGAACTTTGGAGCTACCCTGACATGCTTGCTAAGGCTATACTTTCCCCGGACTGCTTCTACATGTGGCTGAACACAGCTGGGCCACTAGAGCCAGGCTATTTCTGACTGATTGGGGATTCTTAATCTTTATTTTGGGAGTCACATGGGCCTGGCCCAGGTTTTCTTATAGCTCTGAGGGTCTTCCTGCCCAATACTCCTTCCGCCTCTATCTCCTTTCACAGGTGTAAGATGCATACCATGGTCTGAAGGCTCTCACCCTCTTCTCCTGTTTTCCCTGCCCCCTTTATCTTTTAGAAGTGTTTCCCTAATAAATTGTCTTGGTGTCTGCTTCTAGGAGGACCTGAACAGGACACAGGCTCTGGTTACTTTTTGACTTGGCATCTCAAGTGTAACATTTCTTAATACCTGCACTATTTTTTTTTTTCAGATAGTAAAGATTCAAATACCATGTTGGCCACTTTTAGTTGTGTGTTCTTGGGTTTTGGGACACCTTTTGTAAATAAAATGGGAATTATCACATTACTTCCTCTTAGGGTTGTTGTGCAGTTTATGTAAATTATTATATAAACCACTTGTTAAGTGCCGTCAAGTTGGTTCCGGCTCATAGTGACCCTGTATAGGGTTTCCAAGGAGTGGCTGGCGAGCTTGAACTGACGACCCTGTAGTTCAAAATGACTTTGCAGTCCAGCGCATTAACCCACAGCTCCACAATAAACCACTTTGAATACTGGAAATAATCTGGAGCCGTAAATACAGAAGATAAAATCAACGGTCAGGAAAACACTTGCAATAGTAAATGGCATGATGATTGCTTCCCTTATCTTCAAGTCCATTGAGTCGGTAAGCCCAGATAAGAAAATGGTATATTGTTTGCTTTCGTATAATCTATCAGATAACTGATGCTGGATCACAGAAATGGCACTGAAAATCACATCTGTATTTTTCTCCTCTCTGTTATATTTATGGTTGTTGTTGTTAAGTGCCGTTGAGTCGATTCTGACCCATAGCAACCCTGTATAGGGTGTCTGAGGAGTGACTGGTGAGCTTGAACCACAGACCTTGCAGTTCAAATGGCTTATTACAGAGTATGTCAAAAGCATGTCTTTCAAAGGCAGAAGCAGGGTAGAAAGGGAACATTTTCTGCATGCCCTTCAGGGCCCAGATGCAGTATTTGGTGTTTATGTTGTTTCACTCTTTATTTCCCATGGCAATCTTGTGAGGCAGGTAGCCACATTTCCCTTAAACGATACAACATAACTCAGAGTGGTGGCGTACACTTTCCAAGACCTTTTATTCAAAGTTTTAATAACAAATGAGGCACACCTTACCTTTTTCTTTAGTGTTTCGTTTCATGAGTGATATGTCATAACCATCTCCTACATGGATGAGTCTATAGGAACTCATCTAGTTGGCCAGGCACTAGATCACACAGATGACATGGGCATGACGAGTCTCCCAAAGCTGCTCAATTGGATAACCATCAATCATCAATGCAGAGCTTGAATCATTGAAGTCATCTTACATCAGAATTCAGCTCTCTGAATAAAGTATTCACTAAGACACAAGTTTTAATAATTACTGTATTCATTGTGTACACATTTATTGAACAACTGATATGCACTAAGCACTAGCTACTCTTCTTTTCTGGCTGCCCCTTAACAAGACAGGTTGAGGAGGAATGAGACACACGATGAGTCTAGTCAGCACATGATGTATTGTTAATTGCGGGGAGTCGGTTCCAACTCACAGTAACCGTATGTAGGGTTTCTGAGGAGTAGCTGGTGGGCTTGAACTGCCAACTTTGTGG